CCCTAGGAACGTAACGGTTGTATTCCGCAGGAACAAGAACAGAAACGAGACGTTTCGAATAATATGGATGAAGTGTTCCTCTCGTCGTGCGGACTTACGACGTTCAACTCCTTGCGGTAGAAACAGCAACTAGTTCAATGTGGCTGGACTCTAAACAAATGAACAAACTCTCTCTGAATATATGTTGACAATACATAACAATAAATTGTGAGTAATTTGTGCAGAACTGGTTTTATGAATTCAAAACTGTATTATCACTGATTCCATAGTCATGTTTTGTTATCCGCGACACAGCAATATATATATATATTCTAAAGCTTCACCATTAAACACTTAGTTATATATGTATATCACTGTCAAAAAAGTTGTGTTGTGAATTAGCACAAAAACTGTATTTTTTCCCGTTACAAATTGTGTTCCCCAGCCACAGACTTACGTGACTATAACAATATTGATTGTTGTACCAATATAAATACGTCATAGACTGACTCCATTATGAACAAAATTTGTAGTACAGAAGATACCAAGAAGGAAAAAACAACATCACTACAGCCTTCCTTGACAATAGAAACCACAACACAATACGACCGTAGCTAGTATATACCAAACCACCTAAAGACCCAACGTGGAGCAAAGACTCCATTTACGTTCCTCCTGAATGTGGATACCAATACACTGGAAAATCAAAAAGACCAACAGAGATCGAAATTCAGGAACATAATAGACATAAAGACTCTGTAATGCCGTTCTAACTGCAATAACCTCTCATGCCAAAGAAGACTAAACTAGAAGATGGAACACTATCAAACTAATGAGATATGAACCACACATAAGAAAATGGAAAGTACAAGAAGTAATTTAAATTCATGTTTCTGATTAGAATTTCAGTCAATTTTAGCATTGAAGTCAGCAGAATCTGCATATCTCTCCTGAAACCGTTCATACATCTAGTTCTAGTGAAGGAGGCACCAGAGGATTGGACAGCACACCCGCCTTTCTGAGATGACAACCCTGGGTCGGAATCCCGCTTTTGCTACCGTATACAGTCCTTCTCCAGACTTCTTTGAAGACGGCAGTATGCAGATTAGCAGTCGAAATTAAGATATAATCTAATCAGTAATTAGTATCTAGTTATAAAAATATCAAAAACTAATTGGTAATTAAACTAAGTTGCTCTTATAGGCTAATAATTACGGTAAAAATTATATTAACAACAATTTCAAGAACAAAAAACCCCGACAGAAGAACTGCAAAGTCAGGAAGAAAAGGTAAGACAACCAAGAATGATCTCAGCTGCAAGATATAAAAATTAGAGAAATGAGGAAATCCACTAAATGTGAGCAAAATAATTTGGAATAAAATACAATAGCTATAGCAGAAAGAATGCCAAAGGAAAAGTAAAGTACGAGCAAAACTACAAACACAGCAATCACTGAAAAATAATATACAACACAGACACCTGTGAGAAGACCCTGCAATAAAAATATTGAAAGGACTAGAACCACAAAGCAAACTGGAAAGACTTGCAAACTTCACCAGAATCACCATAGATTAGAATAATATTACCACTGAAAAAAAAACACAGACACCACTAGCGCTGTTTCAGCATTGAGAACTCAACAGTTGTAGCACTGATAAATCTAAAAAAAGAAGCTCTGAACAAACTAAATGCCAAAAAAAAAAACACTGCGGAAAAAACTAGAAATACCACTAACACTGGAAAAAATAAAATAGCTCCATCATTACTTAAAACATGAAAATTAACTTCATCATTACATAAAACACTAATTGCCATCGTTAAAAATAAGAAAGCTAATTAGCTCAGCAATACTGGAAAGAATAGTTACTCGTAACAGTACTAAGAAGGCTAGTTACACTGAGAGAAACAACATCAAGATCATTAAGAACTGCAAGATCAAAAAGTGTTCACTAGAGATAGGTTCAATAGTACTTGATATATTAGTACAAGTGTAAACCACTCACGATTTTCTAGTGAATTTTTTGTAAGTAAGTTATATTCCTTTCTTTTGTAATATTAGTTTAATTAGTAATATTGGTTAACATGTTTAATATATATTATCTATTTATTATATATATATATATATGAGTGAGGATTATTTTGGATTTTTAGCTTTGTATAAGGATTCAGAACTAAAGTAAAACTATTAAACAGGTTGTACTTCGTGAGATGCTGTTAGGATTACGGCCGAAAATATCGATAACAGTGAGGGTCCACTGCATTCTGGTTATTACAAATTCATACCACCAAGTAGAACTGGTATATCAAATGATATATATTATTTAATTGGTTATTAGTATTTCTAGTTCTCACTTCTGTAAGATGATTCTTTTGATCAGACGTTATTGATGATAACTTAAACATAAAGATGCAAAAAATAATAATCAAGGCGACGTAAGTAACACAAATAAAACTAAAGAACAAAAAGATCAGCAAAAAGGTAATAGTGTGAAAACATCACCACCGCACATCATATAATGGAAAATGCATTAGTAGAGATGTTTTTGTTTTTCCCCGCAAAGCTATACAATGAGCTATATACACTCTGTCCACCGCGGAGAGTTGAACCCTGGATTTCAGCGTTGCAAGTCTGTAAACGTAGCGCAGTCCCACATTAAAGGGTTCACTAATGGATATCAAACAGGGAGGATACTAAATATATCTATAAGAAAGGAAAAATCATTAAAGCAACGGCAATAAAGCTTCCAAAATCTTGTTTTAAAGACGATCAATCAAATCCTGTAAACAAACTTGTCTTAAAAGCAACACACCTTGAATGGATTAATACTGCAGAATGCAAATGTGTTGGCTGATACACTACCTTTGCGTTGAATCTTATATAATCTACATACGCATAATATTAGTCAATTAAGGTATCTCATATCATTAGGTAAAAGGTAAACACTTCATACAAACAATATTCTAAACATTATTTCAGATAAAGGACGAATTGTTTCA